AGAAATGCCCTGGGCTGAGTGTACCCCCACATCTTACCCTCCCAGGCAAATATTGCCTGAGGGTAAGTTCAGGTCCCCCAGAGTGACTGAGCTTGCATTTATGAGGCTTCTTGCACTTCCCTAAGGAAGAATTCACTTCCTTCTTGATGAGGGAAAACTGTAGCAGCCGCCCACCACAACTCCTCCCAGCATTGGCCTCTACTACAGTCCTGATCCATAATCTCCAACCAGCACATCACTACACTTGGCTTAAAGAAAAGCTCTGGGCATCACCTTTTCTCCCTCAGCCCCTCTCAAGGTACCCCCATACGGGTAGCTGTTCTATGCCTTGCAGAGCCCTACCCCTCACACAGGCCTACCCCCAGAAAAGCAGGGTGAATGCAGAGGGTTTCCAGTGGTGCCCCAAGGCTGACCCCGGTGTGATTCGAACACACAACCTTCTGATCTGGAGTCAGACGCGCTGCCCTTGCGCCACGAGGTCAGGGTGGAGGTGTGGATCCCCAGCACGGACCCTGGCCTGGGCAGTGGGGGTGTCCTCTCTATGGGGACTACCCCATGGGTGTCCAGGCACCCCCAGAAACACTGTAGCTGTGGAGTGGAAGAGGTAAACTGAGGACAGAGCAGCCAAAGGCTTTTTGCAGTGAGGAGTCCAGGCTGCAGGATGAACGTGCAGGGCGGGATGGGGTGATCTGCAGGCTCAGGTACAGCATCTTAGGGATGCTGTGATGTAAGAATGGCGGTCCAGGGCACAACACAGAGAAGGGATGTGGTCCCCTCCTGCAGCACAGCCCGAGGTAGGCTTTGTGTATATACCCAGAAAAGGTCATGGAGAATGTTAAGAGCAGACAGCCCTTGGGCTTGGTCCAGCCAGAGCTGGACACTATAGCTCCTGATGTCCTGCCACAGCCACAGCCTCGTGTAGACTCATAATGGCAGCTGGACCTTCTACAAGGAAGGGAAGATGTCCCACCAGTGCAAGCAGGGTCCACCAACAGTGTAGGCAAAGCCCACTGCTAGCTCTGGCTGCCCAGCCCTTTCCTCATGGGTGGTTAGTGCAAGGTTGTCATGGACAGAGATGTCAGAGAGGAAGTGAAACCTTCCTTCTACCTCTCCAACTCCATGCCTACCCCAGAATCATGAAGGAAGCTTCTCACTACAAGTCCATCTGGGGCAAGGACAAGCTGTGGGCACAATACTGGCAGGGGTCAGCAGTGCAATGGACAAAGTGCCAGGAGAACCTCACCTGGCTCCTTCCCACAGCCTGGCCACGGTGGAGGTGGTGGGGATCAGGCTGCCATGGTATCCTTTGGAAGTGGTGGGTAAGTGGCCTTGGGTTCTGTCCTGCCTCTGGCTTACCCCTCTCTCTGCCATGTATTGTGCCAGCAATAAGACATTTTTCTATCAGAAATCCATCTGGCATTTTTCTTGAGCACAGTTATTGTTACACCTCATTGTTCCCCACTGCCACACCTTAGGCTTTATATCACAAATTCTGACACCTTTGCCGTTCCTGTTTGCCCCACAGCCCATATTAAAAACCTTGGAGTTAGAGCTCTGACACTGTTATTAACATGTCTGTTTCCTTTTAGAGAATTGAACTATTTTAGTATACACGTTTGTGATGCAGTGCTGAATCTATTGTTATTAAGAATGATCCGTTTCAGAAAAATCCTTTAAAAAGGACAAAAAAATTGACAAAAATTGAGAAAATGGTTTGTAAGTGCAAATAAAAATTACAGCACTTGAAGGAGGAATCACACAACTGATAGTTCAATAGATGTGTTCATTTTATGCAGCTGATATAGTTACCTAGTTATGCTAAAGACAGTTTGCTTGTACTGCATGCCCAGTGAGCTGCTTCCCCACCAGCAGTGTGTACTGTGTATAAATACATGAGATGTACAATATTTTCCTGGATGGAAAGACCACTTCTCAACTGGATTCGATTCCTATTTGTGGACAGTTGTTTAGGAGCAGAGCCACAGCACTCTCACCCAGGCTAGTTTTAGGGTACATTTCTACATGGAAATGTTATTCTCTTGTGAAAATAAGAAATCTCAGCAGAAGACTCTGAAATCCTGCATTTCCAAGCTTTTGACAATGAGCTTTATTTAAACAAATATAATAAGTGGCATGATGTGATTATTGCTCTCTGACTGTATGAGGCAGGACTGAATGGCAAGGCAGGAAGTGCTAGGTTAAGGTCTCCTGGGGTGGGATGCTGCTTTGAGAACTTGAGTATGTCTACAAAGCAGATGGGTACCTCCACCTTTGCTCCACCTTCAAAGGAGAAAGCAAAGCTCTCATTAGTACTATAACTACAAAGGGGTTTGAAGTTACATAAATGATAGAAAAATATATGAAGTTAGAAAAAAGTTAACTTTATAGTTATGTACTTATCCTGAAAGTGAGCAACTCCAGTCCCTAAAATTCGATGTATGAAACCAAAAACCCTTCCTGCTCTTCAAACATATTAATAATCCCCACGCACTTAACACTGTGAATGATCGGTGCCGAAGTTGGAGCAAAGGGACAGGCATCTATATCTCCACCTGAGCAAACCCTGCCCACAATAAGGGCTTTGGCGTCTGCTCCCCGCCAGGATGTCTTCCCGCAAGAGGGAGCCATGAGCCAGTTCATGGGCTTCACAAGCTGCAAAGCCAGGCTGGAGGTGCATTTTACTATCTTCATGCAGGAGGTGCTCCAGTCCCCTGATCATTCTCGTGGCCCTCCTCTGGACTTGTTCCAACAGTTCCATGTCCTTCTTATGTTGAGGACACAAGAACTGCACACAGTACTCCAAGTAAGGTCTCATGAGAGCAGAGTAAAGGGGCAGGATCACCTCCTTCAACCTGCTGGTCACACTCCTTTTGATGCAGCCCAGGATACGGTTGGCTTTCTGGGCTGCAAGCGCACACTGAAGCCGGCTCATGTTCATTTTCTCATTGACCAACACCCCCAAGTCCTTCTCCTCAGGGCTGCTCTGAATCTCTCCTTTGCCCAACCTGTAGCTGTGCCTGGGATTGCTCCCACCCAGGTGTAGGACCTTGCACTTGGCATGGTTAAACTTCATGAGGTTGGCATCAGCCCACCTCACAAGCATGTCAAGGTCCCTCTGGATGGCATTCCTTCCCTCCAGCGTATCAACCGAACCACACAGCTTGGTGTCATCGGCAAACTTGCTGAGGGCGCACTCAATCCCACTGTCCATGTCAGCGACAAAGATGTTGAACAAGACCAGTCCCAACACCAATCCCTGAGGGACACCACTCGTTACTGGTCTCCAGCTGGACATTGAGCCATTGACCACAACTCTTTGTGTGCGGCCATCCAGCCAGTTCTTTATCCACCGAGTGGTCCATCCATCAAACTGATGTCTCTCCAATTTAGGGACAAGGATGTCATGTGGGACAGTGTCGAACACTTTACATGAGTCCAGGTAGATGACATCAACTGCTCTACCCCTGTCCATCAGTTCTGTAGCCCCATCATAGAAGGCCACCAAATTGGTCAGGCAGGATTTCCCCTTAGTGAAGCCATGCTGGCTGTCACCAAGGACCTTGTTGTTTTTCATGTGCCTTAGCATGCCTTCCAGGAGAATCTGCTCCAAGAGTTTGCCAGGCACAGAGGTGAGACTGACTGGTCTGTAATTCCCTGGGTCATCCATTTTCCCCTTCTTGAAAATGGGGGTTATATTTCCCTTTTTCTGGTCATCGGGAACTTCACCTGACTGCCATGATTTTTCAAATATGATGGCCAGTGGCTTAGCAACTTCATTTGCCAGCTCCTTCAGGACCCGCGGATGGATTTCATCAGGTCCCATGGACTTGTGTACATTCAGGTTCTTAAGATGGTCTCGAATCAGTTCCTGTCCTACAGTGGGCCCAAGGTCTTCATTCTCACAGTCCCTGCGTCTGCCTTCCAAGACTTGGGTGGTGCGGTTGGAGCATTTGCCAATGAAGACTGAGGCAAAGAAGTTATTAAGAACCTCAGCCTTCTCCAAATCCAGGGTAGCCAGTTCTCCCGATAGCTTCTGGGGGGGGCCCACATTTTAAAACTTTTGATCATTGCATCACAAAGCAGGACCTTACAAACGATTGTATAACCTTCTCCTTTTTTATGACTTTGTTTTTGTTGGTTTTTTTTTCTTTTTCTATGAAATGCCACAACCAGAAGCTCACAATTGGGAAGAACATTTTAGGAATTGACCCAGTTGCCCACATATAGAGATTAGATCCATTTGAGAAGCCTTGTGACAGTAAAAATATTGATATCTGACTGGGGCTGGCAAATATCATGCAGGAGTTATGGGGGATCTGCACCCTCATGGAGCAGAAGCTGGAGGCCAGATGGGATCCCTGCGGTATCTTTAATTACAGTAAATGCCCTTAGCTCTGGGCTTGGCCTGCTAAGTAGAAGTATCTACAGTGCATGTTTCTTCATGCGTGTTTGCTCCTGAGGCCCCACTATATATCCTAAAACCACTAGTTAAACATGTCATTCCCACATGCCCTCATCCATTGCAGATTCCTGCATCTTGGTATCTGAGTACAGCACTGACCAACAACACCAAGCAGTCAGTTATCCGCACAGTATTGTCCAGTGCCATTTTAAGTAAGTTAGACCATACACAAGGCCACTCCTTTTTCTCTCTGTTCACATGAATATTATCTCAGGGGTCCTGTGTCTTACCAAGCAGTCCCATGAGATTCTTTGGATACCCTAAGGCAGCCCACAAGAATTAAGCCTATATATTTGAGCAACTGAATTGAGTCCATAATAACAACCAAGTAATATTTTCATAAAGAAAACTGGTTGTTCAGTTGGTTCAGATTTTATTTTTCCATTGAGGAAATCATGCAGGAGGTAGGGAGGTGCAGTTACTCCACTTGCTTTTGTGACCCTCTGCCATTGTTCAGGTTTAGCCATGTGCAGCGGTCAAGCTGTACTCCTTGCCTTCCACTGCCAAGGTTCCCTGGACAATCAGGTCTGTTCCTACAGCCCTATAAACACAAGAGTGTTCCCTCATCCCCTCCTGAAAGGTTCTGGTGTTGTGGACCTGTCTCTACACTGCAGCTGAGACTTTCTACCATGAAACTCTTCTGCTTCATGGCTCTCCTCCTTTTCCTCCTCCAGGCTGTTCCAGGTAATGGGGAAGATCCATGCTGGGGTCTGCCTGCATAGGAGGTATAACTCGTGCAGTAGTGCAGAATGTGTTCTGTGCTCCTCAGCTCCTTTCATTAGGGCCGTTCCTATTTCTCAGTCTAGAAGCAAAGTTAACTTTTAACTTTCCCACACAAGCCACAATCAGGTGTTGGCTCTTTCTGACTCTGAAATCCCTTTATGCCACTCTGTGGCACTATTAGAAGATGGTGCCATGGAAGTCGTCTGCCTCTTTTTACCCCCATGGTCATAAATTGTCCCCTTTGTGTAAGGTAGAGGAGTGACAGAGGTGTTCTCTCATATTACTTAAGTTGAACTATGCCAGTGTAGTTTATTTACTTTAGCTCTCTGAATATGCTGGTTTCCCTTCCTCAGCCATTCTGCTGCACTGACTCATTTAGTGATTGTGCTTTTAGCCTTGTTTTTCTTCATGCTTAATGGAACTCCCCATCTTGGAGTAAGGCTTTCGGAGGAGGAAGGAACTGGGCAAAGTGATTGTTTCTGTTACAAGGGGCTCTGTTATCAGCTGGGGAAGAGTCCAGCTTATGGTTTTTTTTAAGGCATATGAGGACCATGCTGCCCCTTGCATGACCAACATGCAGCTTTGCAGTCCCAGAACTTAGAAGCATCCAAAGGCTGGCCTGTCCCTACCCACTACAGTGTGCATGCCCAGGATATGTTCAGAAACTTGCCATCAACAAGTACATTTTTCCTTAGTTGTACAAAGCCTTCCTTGGAGTCATGTGAGGTCACATGAGTCTTCTCAAAACTTCCGGAAAAGCTGGCTTGGATTTTGGGGGTATTGGTATCACACCCTTTGTTGGGGTCCATGGGGTTTCAGCAGAAGGAATGAGACCATGAGAAATGGACCGATCCTGCAGCACAGCTGGGAATCCCATTCTTCCTGCAGGTCTTGGCTTGCCCAAAGACACCTTACGTTGTGTTGGATACCACGGTTTTTGCTTCCGATCAAAATCATGCCCAGCACCATTTGCTGCATTTGGAACGTGCTCTCAGCGTCAGAAAACCTGCTGCATAGGTATGGACACCCTGTTTGCATACATGTAGAGATGTGTGTAAACCCTGCCCAGGCAGGCTATGTTGGGAGAGGAGATTGATAAAGTCAGCAAAACACACTCTTACTGTCTTTGTCTCCTAATGGCTTTAAGCTGTCTTCTCCCATATAAGAAGATGGACATGTCTGTTCCTCCACTAAGGTTAGGATGGAGCACAGGAACAGGATTGCCATTTTGGGCTGGACTAATAGCACGCAGCCAAACATCCCGACTCCAACAGAACAGATGTCCGAGGAAATAAAATAGAAACTGTGGCACACCCAGAGTCCTCCTTCTTTGATACATCTTCCTTTAACCAGCTATTGGGGACTGCTGACTGCATCCACACTGCTACATTAAATAGGTGCCAGCTGACCTATTCCCCTGTAAATTTATCTAACTCCTTCTGGCCTTGCTTATTTTTGGAGCTCCTCAATAGGCAACATACACCATTAATCAATACATGCTTTATAGTCAATTGTGCTACTCAGACCTAAGGTTCATCTGATCTAGCATCCTGTATCTCTCCATGGCCAGAAGTGGATGATTCTGTACAGTGATTGTGTGTGTAAAGTGGCTATTAATGATAACCATGTAATTACACTTCCTTATATATTCTCCTGGCTTTTCTGAATTTGCAGATGTTTGTATTTAGGCATCTTTGTCTTTAAAAGACTTTACTGGATTTCCCCCTTTAGATTAGGAATTCCTTCTGTTTTAAAACTTCTTCCTCTACAGTTTTATTCAGTGCCACCCATTTCTGTAGTGCAAATGAAATGCAGTCATTCTGCATCCACCTTCTTCATACCTTTACAATATCCCTCCTTCAGTTACTTCTTTATGAAGCTGGTGGATCACAGATCCCAATTTTAGCAGAAGTACGCTGATAATCCCCGTAGTCTGTGTCTTTGCTTTTGGAGACACAGTGACCAGATGCTTTCCGTGTATGAGTTGGTTCAGTGGTGTAATGCTTTATGTTCTCATTTAAATCCTTTTCATTGCAGACACGACATCAGATTTCCATACTTGTCAAGATGAGGGGGGTCATTGCGTACCTCCAGAAATCAACTGCCTGGAAGAGCAAGTGGGACTTTGTCCTCACAGAGAATGGAAGTGCTGCACAGAAGTGTAATGGAGACCTCATGGAATTGTAGAAAACCACAGAAATGCATGGCCAAGAAAACAAATAAGTGCTCTTCCTAGTGACGTAGAGAAGATGCCTGGTGTTCTCAACATGCAAAGTGTATAATTAACTAGAGGTGACATGTTTCTTTATGTAACAAAGACAATAAATACTAGATAAACAGGTATAGCAGTTGTGTATGCATGGGAAGAGGCAGAATGTCTATTAGACTCACACACAGAAACTTTGCTGTAGCATCCTTGGAAAACAAATCCGTTGTAATTCAAACTTCATCTCCCTCCCTTTTCTGTCTTTCTTACTTCTTTCCTTCCTTTTCTTTCTAACAGAAGGCAATGTCTCCTCTTTCTGTTAAAGTGATAGAAACAAGGACAGTCCAACTGGCATGGTTGGGCTATGTCTACACTATTCAACTACCATTCTCCAAAGCAGGATGCCACTCAGCTGCTCTTCCCACCTCCCTATTGCTACCAATAAACTGTATACCCATTTCAGCACAGCTACCACCTATAAAAAGTATTCATGTGTGACTGGGCATATCTATCAAAAACTATCTATCTAAACCCATTTTATGCAGTTTGTGCTTCTCTCTGTGGTAAGCCTGAATCTATTAACTGGAGGGATGGGGATCAATGAACATGTTTTGATCAGACAGAAGATGGGACGGAAGGTATCAATGAAATCATTTGCAAATCAAACCAAGATCCACGAACAACCAGAGGGTAGATGTACCTTTGAGCAAACAATTGTTCTTTGCTTCCACAAAGCATTTGGACACATGTGTAGCCCTAAGCTCCTGAGTTTTCCTGATGACTTCAATGGCTAACATCATACTGCCAGTCTGCCAGTCAGTGCAAGCTGGGGATAGAACCCAGGTCTTCTGCAGCCCTTATCTCTTCCATATGCATATATATATATATGTATATATATATATATCTCAACTCAATCTCACAAAACTTGGTACATTTTCATGAGAATTCAGTATCCAAATTGTTACAACTGTTCTAGCAAACTGAGCAGTCTCAGGGCCTCTTCTCTATACCTGAAGCCAAATATCATAATCTGGCCATGCTCATCCTCTCTTCACCACCAGAAACAGACGGCTACATCCAGACTGTCTGGTGGAACTAATCCCTCATCCCAGACACACTTGGCAATTGTTTGGGAGAGAAATAGTTAGACTGGACCAAAACCTTTCCAGGGATATGCTAAGCATTTAATAGTTTGGATGATCAAATCCCAGTGCTTGTGTCCTGCCCTGTTTTCTTTACTAATGAAGATATACTGAAGGAGTTTAAGCTTTGATAAAGGGAAAATGCATGAGAGGAGATTAATACATTATTTTTCTAACTAGAATTATAGAAAAAAAACCCAAAAACAACAAAAAAACAACCAATCAAATTTTAAAAATCCTTCTTTGTTGTGGGTTGTTCCTTTTTTTAATCAAATAACCTGATTTACAGCCTACTCCATGACTCACTGAAATCAAGTTAAGTCAATAAATGGGTTTTAGACTCTGCTCCCATTGAGTTTTCCCACATGTAAATACACCCCCACTACCACAGCAGAGTCAGCCTCTCTTGTCTGGTGTCTCTATAGGCTTGCTTCCCACCTCCCTGTGCCTCAGCAGTGGTGTGCCCATGCAGGACTCTGCCTACATTTGGGTGTCTGGTGAGAGGCGGGGTATGTTAACATCATGCCTGTGGTCCTGCGCAATGATAGATAAGGTCTGGTCAAGGTTACACCATGCTCTGCTGCTGGCATGAATATCAGAAGGAACTGTAGAAGATGTGGTGTCCTGAAAACATCCCATTCCAACAGGCACAGCAGCCATGGGAACCTCAGATCTTCTTCAGTGAGTGCTCCCTTGTCCATAATCAACATAACGACAGTGATAATGAAATTACTTTCTTGCTCTGCCGTGTCTTGCTTGCCTCTCATTCATTTCTAAAGAACACTTTTTCATCTGAGACTTCGAGGTGAATTTATGTCAATCAAAGTGGAATTTGCTGCCACGTTGAGCATGAAGTTTCTTCCAGAGGTAATGTGAGGACACCATCCTCACATCAGTCAAGGACAGTGGTGAACCAAGACACTGGTTCCAGAGAACAGTACAGAGGCATCCAAAAAGTTTAGATCAGAAGAGGACCTAAGACTTCCTATGTCTTACATATGGGCTCTCACCATTAAACCTTACTTTCATTTTATTTCTTTTCCTGACTTTATTTCCATTATTTTTAGCTGATTTTGGTTGGATGGTAGAAGTTTGTAGATGTTTGCTGATTTATACAAGATCTTCATTACCTTGAGTCATGAAGGAGGGCGATGCTTTAGTACAGGGGCAAGAGGCACTGCAACTAGCAAGTTAATGGCTTGCTGGAAGATTTCACTGAGGTGCCATCAGATATAAGTCAGTAAAGAATGAAGTCCCACATCAGGGTTTGTGTGCAGATAAAGCATGCAGGAAAGAGTGCACTGTCTGCACATTTCCCAAAGAAACTCATCAAGGGACTCACCAAGGTCACCATAATCATGCATGAAAACCCTCCAATGGAAGCAGTTCACCCACCCACAAAGGCACACTGCCAACCCAAAACATGGAGTGACCTGTGGGACTGGAAGAGACCCATGGCCCAGCAGCACAGGAACTGTTGGAGGACAGGGTCCAGTGGCTACAGCTGTCCAGCCAAGCATTTATCAGTTCTCAGAAGATCCTGGGCCAATGCCAAATGAAAAGACCTATGGTCAGATTGGCAGATGGTGTGCATCCACTGGCTCCTATGTCATGACGAGGTTTTAAAGCCAACACCATGTTCTTCCAGCCTTCCTAGGACACACACCACTATTGCTGGCTGCTGTCCATGGGCTGGGGTTATCCAGGGGCTGGAGGATGGGTTCACTGAGGTGTATAATCCAGCTCTGCCAAAGAGGCGGAAAGGATCTTACCTATCTATGTAAGCAAAGCCTTAAATCCCTGGCACTGAGTTTCTTGCCTTTACTGCCCTGTTTTTATAAAGAAATGCTTCTGTCCAGTCCAGTTACAAAATCCAGCATTAGTACAGTACATCTGTACCAACACATTACCCCTTGCTTTGCACTTCTGAACATCTTTTGAGACTGAATGATGCGGCAAGAGCTTGCACGTAAGAGGTGGGAGATATTGCCAAATGAACACCTCACCTGCTTGCTTTTTGCCTGTGTAAATAATTATTTGGGGTTTGAGACAGCAGTTCGCAGGTGTTGGGCATTGGATTTCCTGTACTGTATTTGTAATCATTTTATTTACACCCCATTTCCACCCTGGAGTGAATAAAGCCGCAAGCCTTTGCTCCATCATTCAGACACAAAGCATGTCCAGATGTCACCCTCTTTAGATCACAAAAGACCCCCTCAAACTCTCCTTGCAAGGCTGACCTGATCCACACTGTCATGGGCCACAGAAAGAGCAAGAAAGCTCTTTCAGCTCCAGGGTTGTTTCACTACCCCACATCATTAGTGAGTGGACCAGCCTGTGAGACCAGACAAGCTCTGTCATCAGTTACAAGGCATGAAGAGGATGAGGAGAGGGGCAATGCTGCTTGGGAGGGGGCAACAGGGAAAAGCCAATCCCATACCCCTCTGTCAAAGCAGAAAAGCAATACATCAAACAAATGGCCTGGGGAGAGGAGGCAGAAACATCCTGTCCTTTGCAAAACATGAGCAGGCTTAGCTGGAAATTATTACCAGCCTGCAGCAGACAGTGTGCTGACTCTGATGTTACCCCAAGATCAGTATCTCTCCAGCATGAAATGGTCCACAGAGACTGGAGCTCTTTTGCCAGACCTGCCTTGCAGGTTTGCCCCTGCCTAGCCCAGAGGAGAAATCTAAACACTGCAGTGTTCAAAGAGTGGTGTAAAGGTCCCAGGCCAGCTCCTTGCCCAGGAGAACAGTCCCACTCCTAAGGGACTAGTTCTCACTCCAAGAGGGTGGATGGACCTATTTTTGGTCCAGCAGGTGACCATGGAGTAATGGAGTAATCAGAATCATAAAATCACAAATCATAGTATGATTTGGGTTAGAAGAAACCTTAAAGATCTAGTTCCAACCATCCTGACATGGGCAGGGACACCTTTCACTAGACCAAGTAGAATATTAAGTGGACAAGGAAAATTAAGGGTTTGCAAGTACTTGACCTCCCTAGATCAGGACTGGTCAGCCTTCAAACAAGACGCTTTAACCCATCTGAGCTTAGAGTCAGATGAAATTTGTCTTTTGCCCTTTTTGACTTTAGGACCAGACTCAGTTGCCCCAGACCTGAACACTGGTGTCACCTGAGGTGGCCCAAGGTATCATTCTGGCCTTCTGTCACTCATGCAGAGATCCATAATGCCCATGCATCTCAAATGACATCCATCAAGCTTTCCATACCTGCTGATCCAGGACAGCAAACTTTGACTCTGTCAAGTGGGTAGATTTAGTTTATATATTAGGAAGAAGGGTGTGAAGTCACTGGCACAGGGTGCCCAGAGAACTTGTTGCTACACCATCCCTGGCAGTGTTCAAGGCCAGGATGGATGGGGCTTGAAGCAACCTGGTCCAATGGAAGGTGTCCCTGCCCGTGGCAAGGGGTTGGAACTGGATGAGCTTTAAGGTCCCTTCCAACCCAAACCATTCCATGATGCTGTGATTTTATGATTCTATCAAATGCATCTAAATGACATTGTTTTAGGGAGAATGAAATTTGTAACCTTGATCTTTCAACTATCCAGCTTAGGATGTATTCACATGAACAGTTACATTAACACAGCTGAAGAGACAGCAAAGAGCAGGACGAGGCAGGGGCAGCAGCCAGGCAAGGGTAGCTGGAATAGCACGGGGCGATTTTAGAGCAAGAACTGCATAGCTATCACATAACTACCACCAAGTGGTGCATTGCTGAGCTAGCCAGCTACCTCTTCCACCAGAGCTGTGCTCTCATCACACGCAGGAGTGCAGCCTCCTAAATTCCTGGGAAGCCAAAGCTGGAATAGCATTTTTGGCAGGAAAAAATCACACCCAGGTTTCAGCTGGAGAAAACATTCACACAAGCTCAGATAAAAAAGGGACCGCTCCTGGCCTGCACCATTCTCCTTGTTGCAGTTCCTCAGGAGTCTTCCTTTCAGGTTGCCTACCACCCATCAGCTTCCCAGGGACTTTGCTGGCTGAAGCTGAAGAGCATCCTCCTGAGCTTCTTTTCCCACTGAACTGCCTGCAGTTGGCAACCTACCAGTCCAAAATGGCAACTGACAGAAAGAGGAACTGGGGATGCTGATAACCAGTGAACGTGAAGCAAGTCATCATTGTTTGGAGCCGCAGCACTGGGTCGGAATGACATGAATGGTTTTCTCAGCAGCAGACATTGTTCCTGAGACTGGAATATAATTAACTCCTGCCTACTCCCTCTTCCCAGATGCTACCCAGTGTGCCAGCAACACACAGAGGCTTCTGCATGATCTCAGGTCTGCACTTTTCCAGCAGAACCAAAGCAATGGAGATCCTTTGGTTCATGTTGATCTTCATCTCCCTTATGGGTCATGGTAAGACCAGGAAGGCTGAGGGTGGTAAACAGAGGCATCTGGGAACAGGAATAATCTTTTCTCACTGTTTAATCAAATCAAAATATTATGGGTGTTGAGGAAAGATGTCCTCTGGTTTCTGGATGAAGCAATGGATGAGGTACTTTGGCAAAATGCATGTTTTAATCCCTTGGGGTAGTGCAAAACTGTGCAGGGAAGAAGCTGTGAAAATGGGGAACCTCACTGCTTTTGTAGGAGCAGACTGGTTGGAGAAGACCTAAGGAGGTGACCTTGCTCTGGGGAAGTATTTCTGCCTTTTCTCAGGCTGCACTTGCACCATTGGTAGGGCAAGGACAACCGCTCTGACCTCTCATGCATGGTCAATGCCAACGTCCTGAATAAACAGCTCCATGATAAGATGTTCCTTGAGTGAGGCTGGCTTTGCAGCTTGGTATTTTTAACACAGATGTCTGAAGCTGTCCTTTGGGACAGGTATCCCATCTGTGCTCTATTCAGCCGTCCATGCAATGCAGGCTCCATGCATGCTCACAGTGCTGGATTGGCACAAGAAGCCCCATGTGTTGACCCACCAGCTTGCCACTTCTTTTTACAGGAGATGCTCATGGACCATTAAGCTGTAAGCATGAAGGGGGCGCGTGCCACTGTAGGCAAGACAGGGGCTTTTGCCGACTTGGAACCTGCGAACCTGGTGAATATCTGGCTAAGTACTGCTTTGAACCCATCATTCTCTGTTGCAAAAATCTGACATACTCCACTGCAAAGAGCTGAAGGTTTCCAAAGGAGCAAACTGCAGCACATGGAGAGCTGCAGGAATGAGGAATGATCTGCTGTTGGGAAAGAAATCCTTTGCCTTTCCTGTCACTGTCACTCTTCTGGGAGAGCATAGCTATGGGATCACTCTGAACGCATCACTTCTTGCTTTTGGTGGGACTTCCTAGGAAACACTGTGAAAAGAATAAATTTGGGCCATCTAGGCCACTTATCACCCCTTTTGGCAGCTGGTTGTTACCTGTCATGCATAGGAGACAAATTGCCTTCTCTTTACCTGAAAGCAATAAACATGAAGTTTATGGCAAATGCCCATCTGTGACTCCTGCTGACATTCAGCAAAGCTGCGGGTGGTGGGACACACTCTTTTCCACTGGCCAGGGCTGAACACAGAGCACTGTGACTTTGTCTTTTTATTTCCCTTCCTCAAGAAAAGAGTTGCAATGGGGGCAGCCGTTATCCCATTGCTTTTGGTGCAAAAGCTACGTGGTTCGACATAAAACCTAAGTGGGGGTCTCTGTTTCTCAGGCAAGTCCCCTGCATATCTACTGTTCCTTTCTAGGATGTGCCATGTTCTTACAGGCAATGGGAAGGGAGAAATAAGACACTAAAAAGGAGCAGGGATTTCCCACATGCATACAGACCCTTTTGCCCATAAGGTTCAGAGCAGGAATGTGCTGGCCATCAGCCATCATGTAGACCAGGAAATGCATCCCAGTAGGGCTGTCCCTGGTTCATCCCTCAACACTGCAAGACCAAGGAAGAGCCCAGTCTTGCTTGTTTTAAACATGATGGGGAAAGGATCTGAAAGCTGTGAACCATTGCTCTTGACAGGCTGATCTTCTCATCCATGGGCTGCATTTCTGGTGTTCCTCCTTTCCTCTGTAATCACTCAACAATCATTCCAAAGCAATTAGCCTGTTTGCACCTAACATCTTTCTGCCTATGACCTGCATTAGCCTAGATCTGTTAGCTCTCCAGATCCACTCTCAGCCCTTCTGTATTTTTCCAGCATGGGATTTGGACACTCCCCTGCCTTTGTCAGTCAGCTCTGTCCCTTTCCAGGTAAAATATTTCTCTCTGGGTGAATCATTTATGTGAAAGAGAGAAAATGATGTAATGAGAGAGCTACGCCAGTTAGCAAAGCATTGGCCAGAGCCAGGGAAAAGTCCTTCCTGGGAGATGAAGTTCTTGCTCTGATGAATCAAACAGGAAAATTCCCATTGACCTCACCAGGGTCAGGAGTCATTGCCAGAGATCCAACAATAAATTCACGCAAGCAACTCCACTCTCCTGTGAGCATCCCAGCTATTCTCCTTGGGTGATCATAGCACAGTCCAGGGCACCAATGCATGCAGGGAGATACCAGCACTGCCCTGGAGATCCCCTGCAGTTGAATGAACCATCAGGAGACCCAGGTTAACCAGAGCCAGCTGTTGGCTTGGGAACCAATGCTGGAAACAAACACAGGGCTGAGCCCGGAGCCAAATTCCTCCCCAGGTCCAGCACTCCTCTCCGACGTATGCTGGTGTATGAGTACAGCACAGGCAGGCTTTGAAATAAAGGCACCGTTCCAAAGCAAACAGTTTATTTCTCACGTTCACCCAACAGAGTTCATGATTCGCCCCTCTTATCTGGGGGGACCAATAGCCACCATATTTATAACCTGGTTTCCTAAGAAAGTGAAATGTATGGGCTCATGCAGCTCACCCTGTAAATCTCCCTGCCAGTTGCTGGGACTTCTGCCACCTATGCATTTTGAATCACTTAGCCAGCCAAATTTCAGTCAGGGAAGGTGGAAATGCTCAGACAGTTTACAGTGCACATATATATATGCTTACAGTGTATATATACACTATATATACTGTAGATACTTGCTGATCTGGCAGAAAATAACCCTAAAAAAATCCAAACCACAACACAACAAAAAGAAAAGGCAATAAAAGTCCATGATCGTTTCTGCCTCACACATAAAATGAACTGACTTCCCTCCCAGCTATGTGGTCTGACACAGAGGGAGAAGAGGGAAAGCACTGAGGACGTGGTGGAGGGTACAGAACAGCACTCTCCAAGTCCACCAACACTACACAACTGTTTCTTGACACAGTTTCTTCACCCATTAACTTGCTTGGGGCAGAGCACTCAGACACCAGCACAGGTCCTGAGAAGCTGCTTAAACAGCAGTATGAGATGGTTTAGTGTAAGTGTATGATAGGGAATGCTGGCATAATTACCCCAGGCTGGTGTGTCCGGTAACCCCAAGGAGGAGGCAGCACTGAACTCTTCTGGTTAAGTCACCGTGTTCATCCACTCAGCACAGATCTGTTCACCTACGTGTTTTCATTCACCATGAGACCGCACTCTTATAGGCCCCCAAGCACCATATTCCAACCTTTTATATCTAAAACCCAAAACATATTCATAGTTTGAGGCACTTAGTAAAAGTCACCCCCGGTGTGCCCCTTTGCCAGAGGACTTCTCCCATGACCAGCAGTTCTGCCCAGCTGGGCTCATTTCCCAGAGTGCAGACCCACATGTAGTACGCTGGGTTCGTCTGAATCCAAAATGCTACCTTCAGAATTGCATGTAGGACTAGAGGGCACAGTAAGGCAAGTGATGGGGAAGCCAGAGGGGCAGAAGCAATGAGAAAGTGAAGTCTACCATCCCTTCTGAGATGCAGGCTGGTGAGAATTTCAATCAGGCCAGTGGCCCACTTTGAAAAGACATGAAGTCGTGGGCCTCATGGGAGAAAGCCAAATGAGGAAGATGATTTTTGGGGAAAGGCTTGGTTAAGCCTTTAAGTCCAGCTAACTGTACCTGACAGAGCTCAGAAGGCTACAAAATAGGGGTTCTTCAGTACTATCCTAGCAGACCTATTATTAGCCCCTAAGGGAGACCAGAAACCATCCAGACATCTCAGGATGTATATGTGGGGTCTTTCAGCCATACAGACAGCCAGGATAGAGCCCTATGCTCATGCCCAGTCTGTCGACCAGCACAAACCTCCTGCATAACTGGAGACGTCAGTTCACCAAAGCACAGCATGAACGTCCCACCACTAGAATTTATTTGCTGTTCCCAGGCAAGAGGCCAGTGTTTGCTTGGCAGTGTAGACAGACAGATTAAATCCTCTGCTTCTGCCTGAAAAACACCATTGGAAATGGAGCTGTATAATCAGGAGCAGAATGGTGGTCAGATGGGCTCCTGCTTGGAGAAGCTGAGATCTCACAGTGCTGGGCAAGCACCTTAGATTCAGATTGTCTCTTATGTCCCCAGAAAACCCATGCAAACCAATGCAAGCACCTGCATGCCTGGCTCTTCCTTCACCCCCATGCAGGAGAATCACAGAATGGTTTGGGTTGGAAGGGACCTTAAAGCTCATCCAGTTCCAAACCCCTGCCATGGGGAGGAACACCTTCCATTAGACCAGGTTGCTCAAAGAAAGGGGGTCATATCCAGCCCACTCATGTGGCTTCTTCAACCTCCTGTGGAGTGGATGATACTATCACCCTACCACACCAGGTCCAAGGGCATAATGGGAAGATAAAATGTGTCTGAATTCAGAGTAAGTCAAACTGTATGAGGCTCAAGGTCAGACATGAATAGATACCCATACATGCTATCATCATAGAATCATAGAATAGTTAGGGTTGGAAAGGACCTTAAGATCATCAAGTTCCGACCCCCTTGCTATGGGAAGGGACACATCACACCAAACCAATATCAAACTAATCACACTAACATCAAACTAATACTTTGCCAAACTGTTGCTTGGCACACTTTGGAGATGGGCAAATGCCAGGGACCATATGTAACAGATGTCCAGATGTGGCCACGCAGCTGGCAGGGAGATGCCTGTTTAGGTGGCTGACATGAGTGCTATATCTCCATGAACTTCAGTGAGACACCTTATGGGTCTGAAGACCTGTGCTCTCGGGGATAGGCATGACGCACCAGATGTGTGTAGGCCTGAACACAGGGGTTTGGGCTTATCTCCAGTCATCTCCCCTGGATGCAGGGGGACCTGGGGAGCAGGCAGGAGGCATGACAAAGCCTGCTGGGCAGAGGTTGAGACCAGAAGCATCTCTTGCAAGGCAGGACTGGCACTGGGTTGTTTAGGGGGACATAGCAGAAGTCTAGGGGATTGGGAAAATCTGATAAAATGTCCTAAGGGTTAATGGGGTCTGACTGCTCATGGCCTCGTCATGCACAAGAACTAGGTGGACACATATTTAAAACAAGCAAACAAATTGTTCCTTTATGCAACCAGCTGCAGACCTATGAAACTCCCCGCTGAAGGATATTGCCATGTAAGACTTCACTCTTCAGGCTAAAAAATAGCCTGAAAGCAGGAGGAAAATTGAGAAAATACCACAGTTGTGCTGTTCTTACTTTCATTCAGACCTCCCCATAAAATCATAGAATCAACTAGGCTGGAAAACACCTTTAAGATCATCAAGCCCATATGGCCACTGTTATAGGCAGGAGGTGGATGGTCCCTTTGAGTGGGTGAGGACGGCTGCATGGTGGGTTGTAACGAAAGCCCACCCAAGGCCATCGGGGGTTTCTGTGCCAGGGCTGAGCCCAGAGCTGAGCCCACGATCCCTTCTTCATGAGTTGGACTGCAGGGCTGTATCAGTGCTTACTTGGCTCAGGCATTGGTAAGAAGCCACTGGTGGGATGGGGAAGCAGAATTGGCATTGCAAGCTGGCAAGGGTTCAGTCATCAAAGGACTTGCTCGTGTTGGCATACGCTTATCCCAGGCTGCATTTAAATATCGGGCTGCTCAGTTCATGACACAAAAAGAGATGAAATCAGTGGAGACATCCCTCCTGTCTGGGGCCATGGGGTGGGTGCAGATTGACTTGACTCCTCCCCTGCCTCAAAGCCTCTAAGGCACACAGGCACTGATTTCTGTGTGTCACCGAGTACAGATCATCCTTTGTGCATGGTGGACTCCAAAAAGAAACCACCTGGTGGCAGGCTGGGAAGCAGGGAAGGGTGGGATGCTGCTGGACCAGCCCCAGTATGCTGACCAGAGGCTGAGGCCAACACAGCATAGGGACCACGCTGGAAGAAGCAAGCCCAGCTGCTGTTCAAGCAGTTGCCCAGGGGACAAAGACTTCCTGCCCCTGATTTCTGGGGGAAATCTGGTTTATGTTGGTATTTTCTGGTTTTGGCTTCCTTTCCCAAGACACGTTCTGCAACTCGACCCACACACTACAGCTGCAGAGCAGGGGCTTGTGATGACGTAGAGGATGCATCCTGGCCACTTTTGTGCCTGTCCCTGTGGAGCACTCAAACAGCTCCAGACACAGCTCATCCTCAGAGATGGTGTTGCTCCCACTAAGGGAAAGCAGCTGAGCTAGGGATAAATCATGGCATTTTGCCATCCACCATCAGGAACACCATGGCCATGTGGTACTCTGGCTCTGTGCTAAGCCTCCTCTCTCTAGAGTGCATCAAACCACCTGCACACACATGTTGAGACACATACTCAGAGCAAGATACTCATATGAGCATCCACACGCTCCTCCCTTCTTGAGCTGTAGCTCAAGGACTGCAATCTTGTTTCTTCTAGAGAAACTCTACCCCAGCCCCACTGCACCATCTGTCACATTGGAGATGCCAGTCCTTAGAGGAACATGGTGGGTTATGGTCTTCCACCCACTGCACCAAGTGGTACCACCAGATATGCAAAGCATCAACACTTGTAGAGAGGCTTTACACACATCCTTACAAACCATCTTCTTGTCCCAGGTTTCATGTGGCCAGTCTGTATAACAAACTGCTTAAATGCTCAGTGTCCCATGCTGCAAAGTCCAGCTGGTGAAGGGCCCCTTATCTGCACTGTTTGATGAAGGTGATCCTTGTTCTGTTCAAGCATTCTGAAGGCCATCGCTTTTCCATTTTCCATCACTACCTGGCACCCAGCCTTTAAATAAACAGCCATTAAGATGACTTACTAAAGGAAAACAGGAGACTTGGTGATGTCCCTTGCTTTTCCTCTGTTTGTTATTAGTTGGGGAGATTTCTGCTGGGTATTTACATTGTGCTGTTTTCCAAAGCTGAAACTCTAGTCCTACCTCTATTGCTTTCCAGGAACTAACCTGGAGAGCTAGTACAGGCCAGAGACCCTGCCATCCTTCCTGGAAGAGTCGTAATACACAAGCTTTCCTAATGCTCCTGATAATTATGAGGAGGTATCCCAGATTTCCCATGCAATAAATACATAGTAAGATGCTAAATTGCCATTTTTCTTGACAGTTGTAAACAAAGCTTTGGCAAGTTTTGCCTTTGCGGCCCAGAAGTTGTGAAACACAAACAGACCTTTGATTTGTAAGGATCCCATGATTTTCAAGCCAATGTTGTGCGCTGGGGAGTGCTGATGAGGAGACTCTGCGTTTTTTCACTCTTGGCTGTCAGTGCTATACACAGAGACTGGAAGCTGGAAATGAACAACTTTGATAGTGCAAACACTTGGATGGGATTTTAACATCACATGCTCGAGCCTACGAACACAAGACGAGCCAGACTGGGTCAGCCCCAACATCCTGTCTCCAGGAGCAAGCAGTAGCAGACTCCCCAGTGCTCAGTGCAGTTTGTTGACAAAAACTTATTGTGGTTTTTTTTTCCTTTTTTTTTCCTTTTTCCTTTTTTTCCCCCCCTTTATTTTTCTTTCTCTTTTCTTTTTTCTTTTTCTTTTTCTTTTTTCTTTTTTTTCCTTCTGTAACAAGGTGTGTCCAAGAGTGGGAACATCCCAATGCAAATGTTTGCTGTCATGTTGAAATGCATCTGAGATTGACAAAGTTCCCTGGGCTCCAGGAGCATTACACAACCCATCCAGCACTATAAATCCAGGGTCTCACACTTCTCCCTCTTCTCCGCCTCTTTACAGCCCTTCACTCCTCCTCGTGGTGGGACCTCCCCTGACATCCAGCTATGCGGATCCTCCAGCTGCTCTTTGCAGTCGTTATCATTCTCCTCCTCCAGGATGCTCCGGGTAAGGACAAGATACAGGGGTTTTAGCAGGACTGTGGGGAGAGAAAAGAGAGGTTCCTACCCCAAGGTAGAGAAGGACAAAACAAGGCCCTCAAGGCAAACCAAGTCAAGGCTAAACTAACTTTTGCTTCCAGGGAACAAATACCTTCTGAAACAGTGTCCATGAAGCTCCTGGATGCAGGCATCCCAGGTTCATACACTGTACATCCCCTCTTCTCCATCCCCTCAAAACCTACCCAGGAATGCTGACTCTAAGCTCTGCTCCTGAACAGGATACAAGCCTCAACCCTCCACAAGACAAGGAGAACCCCATTCAATCAAATTAATCTTTCAGGGGAAAACAGTAGGGGGAAAGGCTGGTAGCTTCTTTCTGTGTCTGTTTTCTTCTGGGATTCTGTTCTCTTCCTTGGCTTGGCTTTGTCACTGCTTGCTTGTGTGTATACGTTAGAAATTCAGTTTTCATTCACCTGTAAGGTCACTATGATGTTACTAGGACTATAGTGGTATAAATTTCATAGAAAACAAGCCTCATAACAAAGAATAGGAGATTTACTTGCTCAGCTTGTTTATACTCTCATTTAGTTACTTAAATCCTAGAGAAAAAGAGGAGAGAGAGAAAGGTTTGTCTGCTCCACTGGTGGTGGATACGCACCTGTGTATCACAGAGTCATAGCATGGTTTGAGTTGGAAGGGACCTTAAAGATCCCTGCCATGGGCAGGGACACCTTCCACTAGACCAGGTTGCTCCAAGCCCCATCCAGCCTGGCCTTGAACACTGCCAGGGATGGGGCAGCCACAGCTTCTCTGGGCAAGCTCTTCAATGTCTCACCACCCTCCAGAAACCCCAGACTTGGTTCCTGCTGTGTGTAAAGACAAGCAGCACATACCCTTTAGATCAAAATAAGATTTAAAAAAAAAAAAAAAAAAAAAACCCAAAACACTGAGAAATAAACAATCATACAAAAACTCCCAAACCAATAGATAAAACACTTGTTCCAAAAAGACATTTCTCTGACTTGTGATATTGCCCAAGGGATCCACTCCACCTAAGTCATCTAACTCAACTTAGCCAACCTGAAACTTCACCTAACTCATGTAGCCTAACTTTGCCAACCCAAAGCAGCCATCCCACCTAGGCTAGGCTACTTGTTAAAAGAGTCCCAGTGCTCGCTGGAAGCAGATGCTCCGCAGAGCACATCTAAACTTCGTCATGAAGCCAGCTGAATTTCCCCATCTCATCACTCAGTCACCAGCACTAGTGGAGCTCCGAGTGGGTTTGCAGGTGCCCTAAATGGGTCTCCCATCACCTTTCCCCCTGCAGCAAGTGGCCTGTCGGACAGCCAGCAGTGCAGAAGCAACCATGGCCGTTGCCGGAGGCTTTGCTTCCACACGGAGCGATGGGAAGGGACCTGTGGAAATGGCCACGTGCGCTGCTGCCGATGAGAACAATCGTGCTGTGATGGACCCTGGCACACCAAGGTGATCCTGCAACCACAGCTGTACATAGGACCTGCTCCATGCCTATACCTGCAGCTCAGTTTGTTCATCACCAATAAAGCTGTTGGGTTTTGATGTCCTGCTTGCAGAGTGCAGCTGTGCTTCCCTCTGAGATGGGTCATCCCACCTGATCCTTGTGGTTTGATGATGCTCAAGATCATCAAAACACACTGGGGTGTCCAAAAGATCTGTACAAGGCTGGCAGATGTGGCACAAAACCAAGGAGATACCTGTGCCCTTCCAGAGAACAGAAACAGAAGGGTCTGTTGAGCTTGTCCAGTGAAGACCCTCTTCTAGCCCATATTTCTGTCTGCATCACAGCCTTTATCAACTTCTATCTCTTGCTCTGTCTACAGAAGAGACCACAGCAGGATCCATCCTCTTCAAGGAGATGGATCCAAGAGAGAGGTATGATTTTCCCTCCCAGAATGCCTCTTTCTCCCCAGTAGCAACAACAAGGTGAACCTGGGTGGATGGCTCAGGTTATCTTCTTGTGAGACAAGGTAAATGTGGTGGGTGAGTTGGAGAAATCCCACTTCCATGGGCAAAGCAATTCACCTAGTGGTCACACAGTGAGCGTGGTGGGTTCTGTCTGTCCTGCTGCTGCATGGAGTGATTCTTGTGTGAAATCTTACTTGCATAGTGTGAGGTTTAAATAAAAAGAGACACTGCTCATCAGGCTGGTGATAAAAGCAAAAGGAGCTTTTCTGGCTTCACTGCTATTTTCTTGTGAAGGATACCCCAGGGTGAGTGTTGTGAGTCTGGGGGAAGAAAAGGACTGAAGAAGCAGTCAGTCTGACTTTGGATGGCCCCTGATTGCTGTCATGTACAAAAGCATTGTATCCTGAATGCTTCTGGGGTGGGGGTAAAACAGCTGAAAAAATGATGTTTGCTTAGGGCAAGAAAAGGGAGAAAACTCTTGCTAGAGAGGAAATGATGAATGCATCTGAAGGAGAAGGAGATACCAGAGCCAGCAACACACTGCCCTGACTGGGGACCATCCCTCCAAACCCTGCTACCCTGGGCACCTGCACCAAAGGGGAGGCTTGGGACACATGTAAGGGAATTGGAAATGGAAATGGGAAGGGGAAGGGGAGGAGAAGGAGAAGGGAAAGGGAAAATGGAAAAGGGAAAAGGCAAGGCAAGGAAAGGAAGCTGCACGCCTGGCTTTAACCAAAACCCACTTTTCTATCTATCCCAAAAGAACCAGTCTTGTCCTGGAGGGAACAGAGGGAAACCAGTAAAAGCAGTATCTCAGCTGTGCCAGTTGACACCCAGTGGAGATCTGTCCCATCTCTGTCTGTGATCTGAGCACGTTCATCCTGTGATCTGATCTGGTTCATCCTACCACCATAAACCAAGCCAGTGTTAGGGACTGGGTTCCCATGTGCTGGGGTACTCTATTCTATGCTCCTCTTGCTCTGCAGGCTGCAAACACAGCAACATCTTCACACAATCCCTTCTCCTGGAGGCTTCTCCTCCCTGCTGAGTGACAGTCCAGCTCCTCCAGGACCTCAGAAAGCTCAGCCAGAGGTTAGCAGCCACTCCGGCTCTCATGAGCCATCAGTCCCATCGAGCAGATACGGCTCCCCTTGATAACAAGACCTGCCAGAAGCGAGCCTCCAGTTTTTCCACCTTTTTGAAGTCCGGCCAGTGAAGTTTTGCAGAACTTTGTCTTTCTGCCAAAGTAACCAACTTCCAGCTCCAGCCTTCATCTTCCCTCCTTTTCCCTGACCTCCTTCCCCCCCCTCCACCTTCCCTCTTCCTCCTTGCTCCTCCATGGAGCTCCATGATAGAGAAGCTTGGCGGGGGGACACACAGGGATGAGGGGGTGATGTCATGTGTTTTTGGCCCTGCAGAGGAGGAGGCAAGGGTTGGACACGTCTGCCCCTGCCCAGCCTGGCGCCGGGAGCAACTGGGAGCCTTCCTTTCGCAGCCGCCTCTGCGCCTTATCAGGAGCAGGATGACATCTCCGGGACGGGCTGCCGGGTTGCAAGGGGAAGGAGGTGGGGAGCCCCTGAATGGTGCCTTGTGAGGAGCATGCACTGCTGGGGGAGCGCATGGCTATGTGTGCTCGCTGGCAGGAGCTGCAGGGGGAAATAGCTCCCAGCAGGATGGAGCCGGCTATCAGCCGCCACGCAGAAGAAAGTGGCTCTGTGTGGAAGCCCAGTCAAGCAAGGGCAATGCCCTTGCCCAGCTCCACTCCATTAGGAGAGTTTAACCTCTCACATCCCAGGCAGGCAACATGGAAAACCCTCCAAAGGGTTAAAAGATCCCCTTTGCCGTCTAAGGAAATGGCCAGGGCAGAGGGAGGAAGGTGAATCCATCTGCCCCATACCAACAGCTTGGGGTCAGGAGTGATCTCCAGCAGGGCTGGGTACAAGTGTGCCATCAAAATCATTTTGAGATGGAGCATCAGGGCCTCCTCTAAATGTTTTTCGCTTTTTTTTCCCAACTTGGAATGGAAAAACGTCATTCTCCATAAACCAGCAATAGCCTCTAACGCCCTAATGCCACCCCTTCTTTTCCTCTCTCCCCCATGAACATGGTTTGATCAGAAAAGCATGAAATAGTTTTAGTTAATCCCCAAACAAACTGTTCTCCCTATCTTCTACATCACAGCCTTCAGGAGGGAAAAGCTTTGTGGGCCATGGGAACTGCAGCCCAAGAAGAGAGATGGCTCCCTGTAGCAGTGGTCCTTTAATATATTTTATGTTATTTATTCATATTACAAAGAAATCCCCCCCCGATGGATCATCTTCCTCACACCCCACTTCGGAGAGCAGTGCTCTAGAGGAAAATGGAGATTTTGGGGAGAGGAACTACAGCCTCCAAGGCATGGGGCAGAAATCTACACAATGACTGGTTCTCTTTCCACCCGGAGAGTTTGGAAAGCTACTAATGTTTTGCTTGGAATAAACAAGACTTTCTGCAAAAATCATTCTCACTTGTGATTACAGTGAGAAAAGAGATACTGAAACACTAGGAGTGCTATAAAATCAGGGTCACCTTCAGTGTCTCTCTCTCACCTGAGCCCTGTTTCAGAAGACCCAAGCCCTTGCATTGGGTAAGCGATTTGAACATCTACAGAGCAAAAGCCCCCATCTCCTTGGCCTCCACAGTGCCCTTGAGAGCCAGAACAGGTCCTGTGCAGCAAGAAATCACGTCTTACAAGGGTTTTCTTATCTCTATGGATGGCGAAGGGAGCCCAGGGTGACCCGCCACCATGGAGACACTTCTGTCAGTCCAATGAACCTCTGCCAGTGAAACCTTGGCACCTTTTCTACATTAATAAATCGATGTCCTGTTTGTACACCCCTATAAGGGGACTAGGAAGAGATGCAGCCCCTGGGACTGCCCTGTGCTGACCTCGTCTCTCCACATCAGAGGGGATGGCAGTCAGTCACACCTAACATCTCAGAGGCTGTGTAATAAAGTACATCTTTTCTTAGGCATTAATAAATGACTTCACCCTTCTGGTAAGGTGTTCTGGGCTCTTTCATCAGCCCCATATGGAAGAACAGCAGCGCTGAGCAATGCAGCCCCTATCTCCCCAAGGAGGGAGCATTGGCTGGTGGGGATGCTCCAAAACAAGCACCATGATAGGCACTGCTGGGCTATTCCCCAGCACTCCAGTAAAGCAACCTGCAGCCAAGAGCTTGTGGCTTTTGGTTTAGAGACACCCCAGGGATGGAGGCAACGGTGAAAAGCAGGGGAAAGGCTTTTCACCCAGATGAGGGAGGGTGAATGAGCCCTGTCCCCTCTCCATCCTTCTCCCCAGGGCCACCTCCTGTAGGACCTTTCCTCCAAGAGCAGGTCTCTGTGGCTGGGATGGAGACGAAAGCTGTCAGGAGGCTTTATTGTCCAGATCTTCATGCTGCTATCAGTGACTCCCACACACTGGAAGTGAGATATGTGTGACAACATGTTTTCCATCAGCAAGCTTATCGTGGCTGAGAAGAGGGGAAGGGGTTGGGGAGGATGATGTAGAGGATGGGGGAAGGAGGGGACGTGTATGGGCAAAAACACCCATTCACTCCATCCTACACCCGTCCCATGTTCCCCAAATCTATGAAAGAAGAGGGGAAAATGGGGTTTTGGAGGAATGTGTTGGCAAAGTAATGGTATCAGACCTACAGCCTCCTGGCCCAGTAAAGACAGGCCTAAATTCCTTGGGTAAGATCCGAAAACACTCAGCCTGAAAACACATCTCTCAATTCATATGGGTGTACGTACAAATGGAGAGACCTTCCGCATGGATGTTGGCTGGGCTCGCAATACCCCAAGGGGTATGACTCCTCCTTGGTGTGAGACTGATCCTTCCCAGCACTGGGGGAAGCTCCAGCCAGCAGGAAAGACACTAATACAGCAAAACCCCCAGCTGTATCAGACACAGACAGAGCAACTGGGACCCCATCACTGTGGCTGCAGTTGGGAACCATGCATCCCATCTCGCTCGGGTTTTGCAGTGGTCGCTTTAATCAGTTTGCAGCACATGCAATGGCAACACATCTCAGGGAGGTCTGCAGGACAAGGAGCAGAGGATACAGGTGTGATTTCAAGGGAATTTCCTCTGGAAACCTCTAGATTTATTCCAGGGTGGGCAAGTTCAAGTGTACCCCAAGTTTGACATTAGTCCTTTTCCTTCCAAGTGCTGGGTTTCTGCTTGACCCATAACAGCCCATGAAGCAGCCACTTCAAATAAACCATGGTCCCTGGGATGGAAAAAGGTTAAAGAGCTTCCTTCACCAAGCTGCTGCTTGCAAGGAAAGCCCAAGACAACACTGCCCTGCTTTTGCTTCAGGGTGAGAAGCTTGGTAGTGCTATCTTGGGACCATGAGGAGGTAACTGACCAAAGGAACCACCTCTGAAAGCAGAGCTGAAGATGATGTCCCCCTTGCTGGCATGTAAATGGGTTTATCTCCCCAAAGAGGAGAATTATGGATTTACCCATTAAGTGCATTATGGACTCTTTAGGCTGGTGTTTCTAAGGATGGGGCTGGAAAACAACACAATCTTATAACGTATGGCCAGAGTCAAGTGGAGGCCTATCAAGCTTCTTGATTGATTGTCCACCAAGACA